AGATGATGAAGTCATCCGCAAAACAAAGATGAGAAATGGGGAAACCATCTTTATTTCTAAATTGCATACTAGGATAATTCTCAAAAAGAGCATTAAGACATCTAGAAAAATATTCCATAGCAATTATAAAAAGAGAAGGAGACAAGGGATCACCTTGTCTAATACCTTGCAAAGAGTGAAAGAAACCATTAGAAGTTCCATTAAGAATAACCGAGAACCAAACGTTTTCAATAGAATTTCTAATGATCTTGAGAAACAAATCTGAAAACCCAAATAGAGTTAAAATACCATATAAAAAATCCCAAGACAAGTTATCAAAAGCTTTAGAAATATCAAGTTTTAAAAGCAAATTACCACCTCTAGTTTTTAAATTTAAATCATGAACTAATTCTTGAGTAAGTAAGATGTTATCAGAAATAAGTCTACCTTTTACAAAACCAGATTGATTAGGAGAAATTAATTTAGGAAGCAAAGAACTTAATCTTCTAGCAATAATCTTTGAGGTTAGCTTATTAAAAAAAGAGCAAAGGCTAATGGGTCTAAAATCATTCCAGTGATTAGGATTATCTTTCTTAGGAATCAGAACAATAGCCGTAGAAGTAAAAAATTTGGGCATACTATTCCCCTCAAAAAAATCAACAACAGCAGCAATTAAATCCTTTTTGATAATATGCCAACAAGAATGAAAGAAAAGAGAAGTAAAACCATCTGTGCCAGCAGTTGCATTAGGATTAATAGACATAACAGCTAAGTAAATCTCATTTTCAGTAGGATTAACCGTGAGAGCAATGTTATCCTCATAAGAAATAGTATTATCAATAAGATGAGAGTTAACTAATGGACTAATATTAGTTTTCTTACCAAGCAAATTAGTAAAGTACCTTGTAACAGAGTCATGAAGCATATCCTCTTGAATCCACATACCATTGTCATCCTTTACTTTATTAATAAAATTTAAGCTTTTCTTTTTGTTAACCAAGGCATGGAAATACTTAGTATTTCTATCCCCTTCATTTAAATGTTTAGCAGAAGCTTTTTGCCTCCAAAAAGTTTCTTCCATATCCTGAAACTTAACCAAATTATCTTTAGTTTCATTGAGTTCATTAATGACTAAAGGATCAGAGATTAACAAATTTTCCAGATAACAAACTCTCTCTTCCAAATCTTTAATATTAGCAAAGATATTTTTAAAATGATGTTTATTCCACCAATTTAAACATTGTTTAAGCCTTTTTAATTTCAACCAGAATCTAACCATACCTTTGACAGAATTATCAGGAGCAATGCAAGTATTCCAGTTAGAAGAAACTAATTGTAAGAAGTCAGTGTGCTGAATCCACATATTTTGAAATCTAAAGAAGGGCGTACCTTTGTTGTTAGAATTATTTTCCTTGATAGAGATAAGTAAGGGGCAGTGGTCTGAAAGAGACCTGCTTAAATGCTCAACCACCGTTAAAGGCCAAGTAGAAATCCAAGAATGGTTAAAGAGAATTCTATCTAGTCTTTGCCAAATACGGTTATTATTCCAAGTATAATTGGAACCGGTAAAACCAATATCCACTAAGGCACAATCATTAATCATGTTAGAAAACTCCTCCATAGAGTAAGTGTTAGGGGCAGCTCCACCAAGTCTTTCATTAGTATTCAGAATAATGTTAAAATCCCCACCCACAAACCAAGGTTCATTAACAGAAGAAGCAAATTCAGATAAAGAATTCCAAAGAATTCTTCTATCACATCTATTGCAGGCAGCATAAACAAGAGAACCTTTCACATTAAAATTAAAATAAGAAATGGAAACATTGACAACTTGATTAAGGTCATTAATAACAGTCAGGTTAACATTTTTAGCCCAAAACATCCAAATTTTGTTGCTAATATTAGCAAAGTAATTTTTGAAACCAAGCATTCTACTAACATGAACAATATTATTCACTTTAATCATGGGTTCAAGGATAACCAGAAAATCAAGGTTATGAATGCGAGATAAATTTCGAATCCTATTCTTAATAGAGGGGGATCCAATCCCTCTAACATTCCAAATCATGTAATTAATCATTATGAAAAGATAAAGATTTAGTCAAAGATTTAACAGCCTTTCCATTTTTGTTATTCTTATTTTTCTTATTTTTAAATCTAGTATTATAAGCAGAATTAATAGTTTTACCCTTTTCCGAACCTTTCTTGTAAGAAGAATCCACATAAGTCATTGAAATGTTGGGAGAGGACACTTCAATTTCATGTTCAAGCACCAGTTCACCCTCCTCTAATTCTTTTTCTTCTAATTCAGAGAAAAATTCTGGTATGGATACCGAATTTCCATTAGCCCCACAGCATTCTTCTTTCTGCAAATTCTCGACAGAATAGTTAACAGCATTGTTTAAAGTAAAAATATCATCTGTGGATTCCTGAAAATCCATATCAGCAATATTACTTTGATTTAGAATAGAAAATTTGTTAGAAAGAGCAGTTTTAGGCTCTTCATTATAAAGAACAATATCCCATTGCTTATTTTCCATAACATCTTCCTTTAAAGCTTCCCTTTGTTCCTTATTAACCGCTTTCCAAACCATTTTCTTGGCTTTCGTTTCAATAAAATTTTCAGGAGTAAAAGATGCATGCAAAACCGAAGGTTCCTCTTTTTCCTTACCCTTATTATCACGATTAGCAAAATTTTGAGCCTTATTTTTCAAAGAGGGATTGAGAATAAAGCAGTTATTAATATCATGACCATACAATTTACAGTGAGTACAAAATATAGGAAAGTTTTCAATTTCTACTTTTTGAATATAACCGTTACCTTCAGATCCAAGCCAAATTTCCTTGGACCAATCTTTCGTAATATCCATTTCAACCAGAATTCTAGCCACTGAAGGTCTAGTTCTATTAGCCGTAGCTTGATCCACCTGTAAAGGTCTACCGAAAATAGACCCAATCTTTTGCAAAACAGTATGATTATAAAAATGCATACGAAGATTAGGTAGAGAAATCCAGACAGGACAAATTGGGGATTCAGAATTTATGTCAAAATCAGGAGACCATTTCAAAAGTCTCATTTGGAAATTTTTCACATAGTAAGATCTCCTTAAAAAAACCCTCGTATAGTCATTATCATTCGAGAGATTAATAAAAACATGTCGAGGATCAAGAAGGCTAACAGTAAAAGAACCCGAAAGTTTCAAACTAAGAAAAAAACTGCGAATATCTTCCATAGTCGGTCTCTTAAAAGCAAATTTACCCACAAGAGCAAATTTAAAAGGTTCAGCAAGTTTTAAAATGTCTTCATCCGAAATCAAAATAGCCGGTAAACCCTTAAAAGAAGAAGTAGAAATCTTTAAACCCGAATTATCCTTCTCAGAAACCCCAGAAACAATTTCTTTGAAAGATTTAGGAAACGATTTG